GGAAGGACTATATATGACTAATGGATGGGTCGCGGTAACAAACTGAATAACAAAAAGTTTGCTGCTGGAAGATGATCTAAATGTAAGAAGCCGGGTTGTCAATGAGCTCCGGGGCAGAGCTAGAGTGGATCAGAATACCGGCAATCTCTTTTTGTTTGCTCAAGTCCAGCAATACCCTCGGATCTAATCACTGGAGTTAACTGACTGCAGCAACCGAGAACCAGCAACAACCGAAACCGGCGCATACAACGAAGGCAAATAAGATGTCCAAGGAGGCGGCCCTTGCTCCTGTAACCCCCGCAAGGACCACACCCTCAATCGCTCCAGATGGTCTAGGAAGAGGTCTCTTCGCTGCGACCGACATCGGCCCCGGACAAGACGTCCTGCACATCTCCACGCCCTTCGTGGCAGTCTTAGACACCCACCAGCTGGGCGACATATGCTCTGGCTGCTTGGGAAGGAGACAGCTCGAGAACGACGACCGGCGCCTGAAAGGCTGCACCGGATGCCAGGTCGTGAAGTACTGCGATAGGGTTGGTGTTTTCTCTCCTTCCTTCAACTCAAGCTTGTGCTCACGTTTGTCGTATTTCAGACATGTCAAGCCAAGGACTGGAAGTTCGCGCATTCGCTCGAATGCGCCATCTTCCAGAAGCTCCGTCCGCGGATCCTCCCCATCAACGCGAGAGCCGTGCTGCGGATGGCGTTGCGCAGCGAACGACAGAAGTACCCTCCGCAGGAGGTGGAGCTGTTTCGGCAGCTCGAGACGCATATCAAGGACATCCGGGAGGAGAACCCCGCGCAATGGCAGCGGATCTCCATCTCTTCGAAGGCTGTGAAAGCTTATTCGGGGGTGGAGATGAAGGAAGAGGTGATTTCGGCTTATGGTGCTAAGGTGAATACCCTTTGCTTGGTCCCCACGTTCTGAAGGCCCCTACATTTGGCGGAGCATAGCCAGAAAGAGAAAGAGGGGAAAACAAGCCTGGAGAAGCAGGAAGCTGACGTATGTTGGAAAAGCTCGAACTCAACTCCTTCAACCTAACCAATGCACTGTACGACCGCATCGGCCTCTACCTGCACCCGTACGCGGCCCTCATGAACCACAGCTGCGACTACAACGCCGTCGTCGGCTTCGACGGCGACGAGCTGTACGTCAAAGCCATCCGGCCCATCGCCCAGGGCGACCAGATCTTCATCTCCTACGTTGACACCACCAACCCGCGCCCGCTGCGGCAGAAGGAGCTCCGCGAGCGGTACTACTTCCGCTGCCGGTGCACGAGATGTGAGCAGCCGAGTGACGAAGGGAACGACGAACAAGCACCTACGGATTCCGCTGCAGCAGAAACACAAGACTACGCCCTCCTCTCTCGCACATCCTCGGACTCTTCCTCCGACCACCCTCACCTCCCTGCCCCCAACGACCTGGCAACCGAGATCTCGGCCGTGCTGCAGAACCTCCCCCCAACCCGCATTACAACCCAACCCTACGTCTCCCTCCGTGACGAACTGATCGTCGCCCTGCTTGCCCGCCAGCGCTACAAGACCGCCTTTGCGCACGCCGCGGTGCGATACCTCCGCATCGACCCCGCCGTGTACCCGCGGGAGATCCATCCGATCCGACAGGTGCATGCGTGGGCGCTGGCGCGGTTGGCGGTGCTGCTGTCGCAGGGGGTGGAGGTGACGCACGGCGGCGAAGATGAGGTGGCGCTGGAGCGGTTCGAAGTGAATTTCAGTCTCGTGCTGTGGGAGGTGTTGCGGCGGCTAGTCGTGCTGGAGGGGAGGAGTTGTGTGGTGCCGGGGTTCCAGGGGTTGGTGAGGGGGTTGTTCGGGCAGGTCCAGGCGGAGTTTGCGGCGGCGGGGCTGGATCCGAGGCGGATGGAGGGACAGATCAGGGAGGAGTTGGGGAAGGTGGGCAGATTGGTTGAGTGGATCTTAGATGAGAAGGTGTAGTTGAAGATATGGGGGCAGGGGGGCAGGGGGGCAGGGGGGCGTAAGATACGCCAAGGTAGAGTATCTATGGGTGGTGGTGATCTACAAGGAATGATATGAGTTGTTGTTGAAGTTGTTGAAGGTGAATTCGTTAAATTAGACTTTCGCTCCGTGATTAAAACAAAAGTCTGCGGCCTCAGTTCCAGAAAAAGAAACTGAGGCCCTGGGATATCTCCATCATCGAGAGAATTCCGAAGACTCCCGGGTTTTGGTTCGTTCTCATGCCGACAAGACCTTTATATTGAGATGCAAACAGCTGACCCGCATTTGACATACAACTAGATGAACCCAGAGAAATGCATATGGTATCCATCCATTTTTTCGTAGATTCTCCCAGCACTTCCGTACGCCCAAATCCTCCAATACAACTCCCCAGAGAAAAGCTTTTCTTCTTTACTTGAGGGGAATGAAACGGGAAGAGTGGGTGGCACCGATACCGGGACGACCGTGCTTGACGGGCTTGCTGTGCGGGTGTTAGACCATGAACCATACGCATGCATATAAATATCTGTAGACGGGCGGATGACGTACTATGTGATGGAGAATTCACCGAGGTAGTGACCAACCATCTCGGGCTTGACCTCGATCTGGTTGAACTCCTTACCGGAGTAGATACCGACGACGGAGCCGATCATCTCGGGGACGATGATCATGTCACGGAGGTGGGTCTTGACGAGGTCGGGCTTCTCGTTGGGCTTGGCCTCCTGCTTGGCCTTGCGGAGCTTCTTGATGAGGCCCATGGGCTTGCGCTTCAGACCGCGGTTGAAGCGTCTGCGGGCACGGGCGTGAACGACATCACGGAGCTGCTCGGAGGAAAGGTCGAGGAGCCTATATGGTGATCCGAGTCAGATTACATTCTTTCTCCATCAATTTGACACAACTCCCTGAGCTTCGACTTTTGCGACCCAGAAATGTCGCAGTTGATCCGTGTAGAACAAGGCGCTTGTGGTGCTCGGTCGAAGTCGAGGCCCAGGGGGGAAATGGATCGGTGAAGTTGGTGCATTTATGGTGTAACGTACTGGTCGAGGTCAATACCGCGGTAGGAGAACTTGCGGAACTGTCTCTTTCTCTTAATCTCTGTTCGTGCGAATATACGTCAGTGGGCTGATCCATTTGAGTTGTGTATCGTGTTCGTCAAAGCGTTCCCGAGGAGAAAATTTGTCGACAGTATCGTCCGCCACCCGCAGTCATCACCACACAAGTCACATCCATATCGTTTCCATCTTTGTCGCATAACTGATTCCTTTGTATATCCGATACCGCGTTCTTATATCGTGCTCGACAGGAATGGGAAGAGAAAAGGGGGAGTTATTTCGAGTTCAACGTACCGGCAGCCTCCTCGGCGTTCTGCAAGTGAAAAGTCAGTCAATAGTTCCCTTGTCCCCCTGCCTGCTAGGCTAGACCCTTCAATATCATATGGGAGTACTCACGTAGTGCTCGTCGGCCATTTTTGCGGGTGTTCCTCTCAAGGTCGCTTTTCGAACGGGACTCGAAAAGCGAAGGAATATAGGTTGTCGTGTCGGGTCGATGAACGTTCGTCGGGCGTCTCTTGTGCCTCTACGCTGCGGTCGGGAGGTGGGCTGCCGCCTCGTCTAAGCGACTAGTCTAGGGTTGCGACCCTATTACCCGCTAGTCCGCTTCAGGAACCCATCTATAGGGCCGACCGCCTTTGGCTTCTCCTGCGAGATTGATACATATGGGGTAATCTTGATAGCCATCCGTATCATTGGCATGGTTTTTGCGGGCCCTTGTATCGCTTTCGCCGAGAGTCGCAGTCTATATCCGTAATCATGCATGATCGTAAAGATACCAGTGTCGCCAGAGCCAGATCACTTATTCAACGTCTTTAGAGAGGTTAAATACGGCTAAATCGTAGCTAGCCCCTAGTTCTACATCCAGATCTTCACTACGCATTACTTTTAAAATCACGAGAATGGGTCATCAATCGGGAGGTCAGAGAATCTATATTGGCTAAAAAGCTTTTCTCAGCTTACTTATGCAAGATTCGCGACGGCATCAGGCAAGCCTGATGCATCCATGCTTGACCAGACCAACGGGCAATTTTCCCCCTAAGTCTGAAAACAATCGCCGCCAGATTCCCATTCCCCCACGAACCGATTTGTTTTTCTCGATGTTCGGCGGAGGCGAGGCGCTTAGTCGAAGAGACCGAAGCCCATGTCCTCATCGGACTCCTCCTTCTCCTCCTCCTTCTCCTCAGCGGGGGCGTCACCGCCGGCAGCAGCGCCAGCAGCAGCGGCGGGGGCAGCAGCACCAGCACCGCCGGAGGGAACGGAGGCGAGCTTGGTGGCACCCTCAGCGATCAGCTGTAGTAGCAGAAAAAATCTCGTTAGCGTCGATGTTTCCCTTGGGTGCGCAACGGTCCTTTCAATCTGGGGGCGCAAAACTAACCTCCTGGAGGTCCTTGCCCTCGAGCTCGGAGATGAGCTTGGTGAGGCGCTCCTCATCGGCATCGATACCGACGGAGGAGAGGACGGACTTGATGTCCTCAGCGGAGGGGCTGGCGTTGCCAGCGAGGGACAGGAGGAGGTAGGCCGCGAGGTGCTTCATTTTGAATCTGAACCAAGTGAAAAAAAAACTGTTAGATCACGATTCTCGATATTGCAGACTTCGCGGAGATCGTCACACAGCAAGTCAGAAGGCGTCCTGTAGAAAGAACTTACAGATATTCTTGGATAAAATCCGAACACGAGAATCAATCGATTTAACCGCGAAGTTGGGCGGAGACTGAGACGTCGGGTTGCGAGGTAGTGGACAAAAGAAGAAGAAATCAGAACCGAATCGTCTAAAATCGAGAAAAGTGCGTTGCGGCTGGTGGGTTGTGGCGCGTGGGCCTGCGTGCTAGTTCCCGCTAAGCGAGCACCTGTGGCGCAGGCGGGTATCCTGTATTGATGCCTTGGGTGTCCAAAAGCGAGGGTCGATGCGACGGTCACGTGTCTCTCTTGCCTTTCAGACGATGGGATGGCGACTGACTTCTTGCAACCGTTTTTGCCCGGCGGCCTTATCCAGACGACCTCCTCGTGGTACTCTCGGAGGTGGTAACAGTTCGCACTGGCTGCATATTTCACTCCTTTTGTCTGTATCCCATGTCTTGCCGGAGATCTTGAAGAGTGGCACTTTCCGGCTTGGAACTCTATCGAATCTTTAAAGTGGCTCCGCAACGAAGTCATGAAGTTACCCCGTCATACTAACCACCGACGGTGAAGCCCTCTTTGTTCGCATCCTTGTCTGGGTTTTTTGACACTACCTCTGATCAAACCCATTTCTCTCTCATCTGAAAATTCATCATGAGTGTACGGAACCTCATCCTTGACCCTCGCCGATGCCGTTACTGATAATCATGCCAGTTTCTTGATTCTGTTCTCTCGTCCATCGAGACGGGCAAACCGTCCCCAATTCCCCAAGTCTCCTCCACCGTATCGCCACCTGTCACTTCCTCCACTGTGAGAACCGAAGTACGCAAGACCAGTCTTGGACCACGGAATGTTCCCTCAACAACAGAACGGAAACCCCTCTCGCAGGGGATAAAGCGCAAAGCCGACGAGCCGCTGCCCCGTTCGTCAAAATTGGCACCTCCAGCCCCTCTCAGATCAACCGCCACTAAGCCCACAATCCCCGCAGCTGGAAAGGCACGCCCCAGTGCTCCCACAGCAGCCGTGGCGTCCGCCTCCACAAGTCGCTCATCCACGCCTCAAAGATCAGCGCAGGTGTCCTCGAAACCACCCCCCAAAGGCTCCTTTGCAGATCTCATGGCCAAAGCCAAGGCGCTACAAGAAAAGACCCCCACCCAGGTGGGTATGTTCAAGCATCAGGCTGCTGCTAAGGAGAAGCTTAGCAAGGTAGAACGAAAGAAACGAGCGACAGAAGCTCAAACCAAAGAGAAGGAGAGTCGGTCGGCTAAAAAGCCTGGCGCCACTACTACTGCAGCTGGAAGTGCTAAACCTGGCTTTACGAAGCCTGTGAAAAAGCGGGAGCCGGAAGAGCTCTCCTACAAAGGTACTTCGCGACCTACACCCCGTCCTGCACAACCCGAATATCGTGGAACAGCGGGCTTGCCAGCGAAGCGGAATCCCAGTGACCTCAGGGCCCAGTCTCGAAACAAGCGGTCGAGAATGGATGAGTACTTGGGAACCGATGAGGAAGACGAGGGTGACTATGCCGACGACTACGATGACTACGATTCGGGATCTTCCGATATGGAGGCTGGCTACGATGCTATGGAGGAGGAAGAGGCTGCTGCTCTGGCAGCAGCCAGGCGCGAGGATGAGGAGGAATGGAATGCTGAACAGGCAGCCAAGCAGGCTAAAATGGAACGCCTCAAGAAGCTCAATGCGCTGGCTGCGCGCCGATAATGCGGTGGAAGCATACAATGGACGAATAAAGATTTGATTATCATTTGGTCTCCCTACACATAGGCGGACCCGCCCTGTCACTCCATCATTTTCCTATGTGTTTTGTGATTTTATTTTTTTCCTGGAAACGGAGCATCAGCGAGGAATACCCCGAGGGTGCATTACATATGTCGTTGCTTTTTTCTTTCTTTTCTTGCCCTTTTGCTGTCTTTGAAGTTGTTTCGATGAGCATCAGCGAGCATCAAGGTGTCGATAGATGGAGTGTTGAATTGTCTTCCTTCGAGTCACATATTTTTATCACAACTTTTATATACAATCATGGGGAGCGTCGCCGTTGTCTAGTTTGAGCTTCGAGCTTCAGGCCACACTTCAGGACCCGGACTCTGCAATAGAATTGAGCCATTACCAATGCAATCGTCATTGTTGAACAAGAAAATACCGAGTAACAGATTGGCCTTGCATGGACGGACCGGATTTCTTATCATTGCTTCAATCAGCCCCACCTGCAGGCGGTGACATCACTTTTATGCTCCCTCCGCCGCCGTCTGTTTAAACCACATCAGCTCACCTTCTAATCGCAAAATACAATACCTGCTTCCAATACATCGAATTGTTGTCAATCATTCTTTCGAAGTCGGGCTCACTCACTGCATCTGGTCACAACAAAAATGGAGTCTGTCCATCATGTATCAACCTCTTCCAAAGTCCTTCTCAAGAAGGCGCGCAAGATGGTGCCGCCCATGCTGGAGCAATTCCACAAAGGTTCGAATCTGGCAGCCCTTGCATTGCGCTCCGACTCTCGACTTACAATCAATCTAGGACAGCATGGACGCGTTGCAGTCATTGGGGGCTCTTTAGAGTTCGTTGCCCCCAAACCAAACATTCGCATTGCAACAAACTGAGAGGAATGTTATAGTTACACAGGCGCGCCGTACTTCTCCTCAATGGCATCGGCCAGACTAGGTAAGAATTTCCTCCAAGTGTATCTGATAGGGATGCCCAAACTGACATGGAGCTGCAGGATGCGATATGGTAGGCAATTGGGAACCCACTCTGTCTGCTGCGTGCATGAGATCTCCGTTCTGACGAATCACAAAAAGAGCCACGTTATTTGCGATAAATCGGCAGCCACCGTAAGTTGACAGATCGTACCCGGCTTTCATAGGAGCGGGGAAGGGGGAAATGCTCATAATGTCGCTCGTCTAGGTCATCAAAACCTACTCTCCAAACCTGATGGTTCACCCTATTCTGGCAAGCAGCGCCTCGGTCAAGGACCCCGAGTCCATCGATGCCCCATCCCTCGCTAGCCCGATCATCAACATGCTTTCGCGGCTGCATTGCCTGGTGATCGGACCCGGCCTGGGTCGCGACGGGGTCACCCTCAAGGTGGTGACGGAGGTGATGAAAGAAGCGCGGTCCCGCTCGATTCCCTTTGTCCTCGACGCCGACGGGCTCCTCCTCGTGACCGAGGATCCGGATCTGGTGCGCGGGTACAAAGAGTGCATTCTGACGCCCAACGTGAACGAGTTCAGCCGCCTGGCCAAAGCGCTGGGGATCGACGTGCCGAGTCTCGCGGAAATCAACTCCAAGTCGGACGGCGCGGACCGGACGAGCGAGGAATCCAAGGCTTGTGAGCAGTTGTCCAATGCGCTGGGTGGTGTCACCATCATCCAGAAGGGTCCCCATGATGTGATTTCGAACGGGATCACGACGCTCATCTCCGATATTCAGGGAGGCCTGAAGCGCAGCGGGGGCCAAGGCGATACGTTGACGGGCTCCTTGGGCACGCTCCTCGCCTGGAGAGCCGCCTACCACGACGGGCTCTGGGACTCCGGTGAGAAAGACAACGCCAAGGACGCGCAGACCAAGGAAGACATTCGGGCGGAGCTTGAGTCCGAGGATAAACGGATGTCGCCTTGCACGACCCTGCTTCTGGCTGCGTTTGCCGGTAGCTCGATTACGCGGGAGTGCTCCCGACGGGCTTTCCTTGCCAAGGGCCGCAGTATGCAGGCCAGCGATTTGACGGATGAGGTCCACGAGAGCTTCCTCAAGCTGATTGGTGAGCCCGAAGCGTCCAAAATGCACCTGTAGAGTATGTCTCTGCTAGGGTCAGTATCCAAGAGGCTGTAATATTAGTCGGCAGCTTGCGGTTGGGGAGCTGTGCTAGGTCATGGCATAATGAAATTCACTCCCAATGGAGTCTTGGCACGTATCCTGTCTATTAATACATGGATTCTCCCTGGTAGTCAAAGTGACGTCTGCAACAAGCTCGTATATGGGGCAAGGCTGAATGCATATCCCGCCCCAAATCCGGGGTATATGCGCGATTGACTTTTTTTCCATCGGCCGAGACACGGGAACACAGAACTCTACTTTGACTAGTCGATGAACGGTGTCTGCTTCTGGCTTACATGCGTTCTTGCTTCAAATGAGAAATGGTTGTACAACACAGGGCTTAGTTCGCATCTAGCATGCCTGACGTGCGTAGCTTCAACCGCAAATCCGAAAATCACAGTAGTCGAATCTAGTTACTACAGTATCCTACCCCAAAACAAGCCAAATGGTCGTCTATCAGAGTACATTTATCCACCGCTTTGCTGTAAAGCAGAGCTATGAAGTCTATTTTCAATAGTTCCCAACGCCGGTTTCAGAATGTGTCCATGAGAGACAACAATTCAGTCACGGAGACCCTCGATTATAGCTTGGGTCCGAGTCAGCTTCTTGTGTACCAGTTTGTCTCCATAAGACAGCCATCATCCGAAAAGTCCTTGATGGAGAACTGCCTGGGCATCTACTCGTTACGCGGACAGGCGAAACCCGTAGGCAGTGCCCGACGAGATCCTAAAAACGAAGGGCCTCTTTATCTCAGCTTGGACATGCATACTTCTGAGCTTAATCAGAGACATGCAGCTTGAAAATACTACATCACCTGATGCGAGCTCCAACTCTTAGCCAACACTCTCTTACAAGAACTCTTACACTGTCTCACATCTACCTAGCCTCAACGAGCACTACCAGCTCAGATGGACAGGGAAGACCCAACCACTTAGGTATAGATCTCGTATTCAGGCCGGCCGGCCGCGTTGCCGAATTATATGCGTATGGATTGGTGGATCACATCTTCTATTTTCACCCACATCTAAGATAGAACCTGTTGTCTCAGAGGAACCGGGTCCTAGGACGTGTGTGTTGGAGGGGCTAGGGGGCTGTACTCGTCGTTCAGAGTTTGAGCAGTATCCGGTGCACGACCCTGCCTCCGAGCTATACGAGCCTCACCGGGAATAGTAACACTGAGCCCTATCTTAGGATCCACTTACCGATGTCATGGTTCCCCTCCCCCCGAGACCCGCCATGTCATGCCATGGCTGACCCCATTACCTTGGAATCAATAGTGCAGTGCTTGAGGACTCCATGCCCAGTTTCTGCAACCAGCCAACCTTGCGCTCCGCCACCAAGACAGCTCTATATAAGCCCCTATCCTCAAGCCCTGATCAATCGAGGCATTTCCTTCCTCATCAGCATCAGCATCAGGACGAGCATCACTTAACCCTCTTCAATACCAAAGAACTACTACCTCAATCAAATCACACCAGCTGCATCCAAACCAACACACCCACATACCTCAAGCATACTCATACATCCCAACATACATCAGCCATCTCCACCACATCAATAAAGATGTACACCCCAGCCCCACTCCTGCTCCTCCCCCTCCTCGCAACCGCCCTCCTAGCCACCGCCTCCCCGACAGGCACCCAACCCCCCGCGGCCCCCATCTGCGGCACCTGCAACCCGCTCTCCGGCCAGAACAACTGCGACGTGACCACCTCGTGCATCAACACCGGCACGCGCTTCCACTGCGCCTGCCGCGCCGGCTACAAGGCCTCGCCCGCCAACACCGACGTCACCAAGCAGTTCCGGCTGCCCTTCCCCAACTTCCAGTTCCTGGTGTTTGTCCCCGAGTTCACCCAGTGCAATACCCTGTGCGACAACCCGTACGGCGCCAGTCCGCAGCTTTGTGCGGAGGTGTCGGTGCAGAGTTCTTGTCCGGTTTAGGGGGTCGCTGAGGGGGAGAGATCTTTGGGGGGGGGGGATTGTTTTTGAGTGGGGGATGAGATGAGGGGAAGGTGCTGTAACTGGTGATGATGGGGGGTCTTTTTGGGAAGGGATAGGGGGGCTGGTTTTATGATCTTGGATATTAAGGGGAAGGGCAAGGGGGATCATAGTTGTGATTTGATGTGGTTGTGGGCAAGCTTGATAGGACTTTGGATTCCCTTGGTAGAAGTGCTATATACGCATTACCGATGGTGCGACTGAGAAGTCCTTTTGGAATTTATCTGAGTTGGGATCATTCTCTTGGGTCTGTTTGATGTGAAACTTCTGTTGAACCCTTTCATCTCATCCGAGACAGACACTGATGAGCAAAGTACCCAAAGGAAGACCCGCATGCTAGTCATCGTAGATTGCTCAAATATTATGGCTATCCTAACACTTTCGAAACATGAAGTCTTGTACACCAAAAACACCAATCCGATTTCTAGCTACCAACCCTCAAGCACGGCACGTCTCCCAGATACGAAACGATGGTCCGACCAGAAGCAAATCGAGAATCAAAAACACCCGAAACCCATCCCACCCAGGTCGATAAAAATCACTTCCTCTCCGTTGCTCACATATCCATGGTATCGACGAAAAGCAGACGGCTGCCATCACCCACAAGTTGCCAGACCTGAACGGAATAATCAGTACACTAATACTGTAGTAAATTGAACCCGGGGGAAACTCACATTCAGATTCTCATACTCATCCACAGCCATTGTAAGCTGGTCCTCGGTGAAACCCTTCGCAAGCACGCGTTCGCGGATACGTCTCATGCTGAGTTCACCCTCCTCACCGTCGCCGACCGCCGCAGCACCACTCTCCCACATGCTGCGGATGAGGTGGTAGATCTTGCTGCTAGGGCTCTGGTCCAGACCCGACTGACCATCGCTGGACAAGGAGTCCTTGCTGACCTGGATCAGACGCAGCGCCTCGTCGACATCCTCAATAACGACGACATCGCTGAAGCGCAGACGAGCCAGGGCCTGCGACAGACGGACAACTCCCAACAGAGTACGGGGGGTGACGTGGGAGAATTGCTTCCGTTCGTCTTCATCCTTCTTCTGCTGTTTCCTCATTCTCACGTACGCTCCCACCATGTAATCCGAGACAGAGGATGGAACAACCGGTCGGTAGGTCCGCGCCTTGGCGATGTACTGGCGGACCTCATGGGGCGTGAACATGACGCCTGCATCCTCGGTTTCGGGGTGTCTGTTGTGCATGTGGACATATGTCACATGGTTGGCAAGCTCTTCGTCTGCATCGGGTGAGGGGGTATCAAGAATCAAAAACATCACATCGAAACGAGAGAGTAGTGCAGCTGGCAGATTAATGTTCTCAACAGGAGACACCCGCGGGTTGTATCGGCCGTAAAGCGGGTTAGCTGCTGCCAAGATAGAGGTCCGAGCATTGAGGGTGGTTGTAATTCCTGCTTTGGAGATAGAAATGGTCTGCTGCTCCATCACTTCGTGGATAGCGGTCCGATCGGAGTCGTCCATCTTATCGAATTCATCAATGCAGCAAATACCATTGTCGGCCAGGACAAGGGCTCCGCCTTCCAGGACCATCTCGTCGGTTACAGGATCTCTCATGACCGCAGCCGTAAGACCAACGCCACTGCTACCACGACCCGTAGTATAGACACCTCGAGGGGCGACCTTGGAAATGTATTTGAGCAGCTGAGATTTAGCAACACCAGGGTCACCCATCAGACAGATGTTGATGTCACCACGAATGTGCATACCGTCGCCCATCTCCTTAGTCACACCACCAATGAGGAGCAAAAGCAATGCCTTCTTGACGTCAAGGTGACCATAAATCTCCGGTGCAATCGATCGCGACAGATATTCGTACATGTTTCCAGACTTCTGGTGCTGTTCGATCTTGCGAAGAGTGCGACCATCCATGGCAGTATCTTGGTAGGACTTCTTGTGCTGGGTAATGTGTTGGGCTTCCAAGTAGGTATCGGTCAAGAGACCGGCACGGATAGCCCTGAACCCAGTGTATGGTATAGGGAGAAAGATACCCGCAATATCAACAACATCTCCAGGGTTCAGCTGGCGAGTGAGGCTTCCATGGCAGTGGACGGTCATGGTACGAGGGATGTGGCCCACGGGCACCTGGTCCGCCATCTCCTGGATCTTGACTTCTTGAAACGGAACGAACTTCGAGGCACGTGTGGAAAGGAACAGCTGCCCCTTTGACTGATTTGTTTGACATTCCGTCGATTTGCACTCTGTCATCGGAAGGAATTGCTTGGTCGTGACTGGTTGGAACACTTCACTTCCGCAGCGATCACACGTATAAGCATTGATCTCAACGGCAGGCTTGACGTCCGAGACACGAGTCGTGATACCGCGGACTGTGATCAAACTACCGATATGTTCTGCACGCACATTGCGCACTGCGATAGCTTTGGACTGACGGTCGGTGCTCGATCCGGAGGGTGTGAGGGGTTTGAAGTTGACCGTGTAGCGACGAGTCAGTTCAGGAGGAAAGATCGAGTCGGCAGCCTCTGCATCTGCGTTGGCTTCTGCCGCCATCAGCATGGCTTCGTTTCGCTTTTCACGTTGGGACATGATCACGTCAAGCACATCGTCCTTGAACCTGTGAACTATCAGCAGTGCTACAACCTGAGCGAACACGGGCTGGCATACGTGATGTCCTTGCTCTCTTTGGGCATGAGATCGTCGATCGCCCGCGAGAAAAGCTCAATGTAGTGATGAGTGTTCTTTTGCACACTTTCGACAAGGCGCAAGTCTGTATCATCGGGAAGAGACTTCTCGTACTAGTTTGACATTAGAGATGTCTGGGGGAGTCGTGATAATTCGAGCCCTTACAGTAGCTAGGTCGTCCAATTCGATCAAAATATTCGTGCGCTCTCGGTCAGCGACGTCCTGCAACAGCTGCATATACTTGAGCTTTGGCTCTCGTCGTCTGCGGCCAGGCCGCTGTGCGCCATCCTCCACATCATCCATAAAATCATATTCGTCGCTGGTGCCATCCTCTTCGAGGTTGAGGTCTTCAATGGCTTCGGTCGCGGCAGACTCGGACGCCGACTCAAAGCTCTTGAAATGCTTCAGAAAGTCCTTGAATCCCTCCAATTGCGCCTCATAATCGACATGAACGTTGTAGGTGAGCAAAGACATTATGCGACAAAAACACTAGCCAGGTTCATTCAATTCAATAGCTGGCACAGTGAAGCAGGTAGTGGCTAGTCAAATTCGCATGGACCGTGTGGTGGTGAAAAGAAGGCGGGCGGTTGCTGTGGTGGTTGTCTTGGCAGCTCTCGTCGCTGGGGCCAGTGAGGTTGGCACTAGGCCAAACTAGGTCTTAATATCAAAGAGCGTCGACACGTCGCGACGCGTCTTTTCGTGTCTCGGACTCTCCATTACCTGCTAGGCCCAATTCGCTCTAGCGGAGGGGCACGTGTGTCGGAAGGGATTAACCCTCGGCCCGAGTGCTCAAGGCGGGCCGGCCTCGGCGAACGGCGAGCTTGCGGAGTCAATGAGCGACGAAGTCCGGGGTTAATGTTGCGCACTTGTCAATCTGGATTTATTCATATCATCTCAAATAGACCCTGTTCTCTCCTCCACACAAAATTTGAAGTCTGCTCTTTAGCGCGCAACAATGGCGCCTAGAAAGCCCTCCACCACCGCCGAGGTGTCTTTGGTGCCTCTGAAGAACTGCCTGGTCAATCTCCCGCCGTCGCTGGTCGCACTGCTGGTCAATGCCAACACAGTAAGCTACCATCTCTCTCGCTGCGAGCTACTCGGCGCGACATAGTGATTCTAAAGCCAAGGTCTATAGGCTGCTCAGAATGTGATCGTCGAGCTCCAATACCGGCCAGCTGCTGGAAAGAGCAATAGCAACTCCACGTATCGCTCATGCTACTTAGGCTGGACGGGTATGCCCAGCAAGCGCAAGCTTGCTCCTGTCGTTGGAAGAGATGGTATCAATAGTAGCTCTGCTGCTAGGGGGCAGGAAGTTTCTACTGTTGAGTTGGATACCACCTTCGGCCGAGTTCTCGGATTGGCGGATGGACAGAAGGTAAATGTGCCCTCGGCCCTGTTAGTGCTCGCTGTTCTAATGTACAGCAGGTCGGAATCTATATTCATCTTGATCCTCCAGTAGCTCATACCATCAACATTGAGCCGCTAACACCAGAGGACTGGGAAAGTATGATTGCTCTCCATTGCCCCCCCCCCCCCCCCGAATTGCCCTCACATCAGACCCGCTAGCTGACATTGAGCCCGCCGTCACATAGTTATCGAACTCCACGCTACATTCTTGGAGCTTAATCTCCTATCGCAGATCCGCGCTCTACCAAATCCTGCATATACTACAACACAGTCAGAACACATGCATCCCCTTGCACTACACCTGTCACCGACCTCAACTGCGAATATCGTTATCACGTCTATGACGCCCGCGCCTCCTAACACCTCGCCGTTTGCGAAGATAGCACCAGATGCGGAAGTTATCGTTGCTCCGAAAACCCGACCCAAGGCTAACAGGGGGTCTCGCGGTGACAATCGCAGCGTCGCTGGCAGCAGCCGGAAAAGTGTGGGTGGACGAAGTAGCGGGAGCACGGTGCGGCCAAAGAGCAGCCGCTCTGATCCCACAAGCAGAGGTTCGCTCTTCTTCAGAGGAGTTGAACGTCATCTGTCGGAGCAATTCTTCGATGATGAGGCAGAGACAGATGCGAATGATGGCTTCCGTATCTGGCTAGATCCTGACATCCTGGCGACAAATGAGCTTCGCGGAGCCATCTGGGCTTATGTTTCCGTCGTGCAACCCTCCGGTCTCAAAGCGCCGCTTGATCCACAGCAACAAATGGATCAAGCAGAGCAAAAGGCGAACGAAGCCGGAACACCAACAACCAAGTTAGTGGCCAAGCTGGTTCCCTGGATTGACGCTCCGGACACTCAGCATGCTGCCATTTCCTCCTTACTATGCACTGCTCTAGGGGCGGAAGGCTTAATGGGGGGTATTGTTCGCGTGGAGGCAGCTCCTCCACCGCTGCAACGCTCAGCTGTGAAGACGATCAAGGTGTATCCGTTAATGAGCGATACGTCGAGGAGAAAGGACGGTTTGAAATTTGGGTCTGACACAGCGGCGGCAAGAGATGCATTGGCTGAGCGCATCAAACTCATATATGGGACCTCCGGGTTGAACGAGGGGCTCCTGGCGGGGCCACTCACAGATGGAATGATACTGCCCGCTGCGGACTACAAACCTACAGGCACCGTCTTCGATGGCGCTATTCTTCGCTTCGACCCTCCATTGAAGGCTGGCTCGGATACAGTCAAGCCAGGGACTGGATGGCTCCTTGGTTCTGAAACCAAACTATCACTTGACGTACAAGCCGAAATAGCACGTCCAGCCGAGCCGGGCTCGTCCGCTAACCCACCTGATGAATTGATCCCGGCCGATGTCCCCGAACTCGTCGGGATTGACAAGGTTATATCGCAAGCTTTGGACAACTTGACCAAGTCATCTTCTGTTCTACTTACTGGTAGTATTGGTTCTGGCAAGACCTCATTGAGTCATCTCTTGGCCCACCATGTCCGACGGGACCACTTGTTCAACGTCAAATATTTTTCCTGCCGGAAGCTCGTAACGGATGAAACTCGGATCTCCAACATCAAGGAAACCTTGAATCGTTTGTTTATGTCTGCTTCTTGGTGTGCTCGGCTCGGAGGACAGTCTGTTGTGATCCTGGACGATCTTGACAAACTGTGTCCAGTGGAAACGGAATTGCAGGTGGGGAGTGACAATGGTCGCAGCCGACAAAATAGCGAAGTGATATGTTCCATGGTTCGCGACTATTGCTCAATGAACTCTTCTGTGGTGCTTCTGGCAACAGCCCAGTCGAAGGAGTCCTTGAACAACGTCATTATCGGCGGCCATGTGGTCCGGGAAATAATACATCTCAGGGCTCCTGATAAGGAAGGACGACGCAAGGTGCTCGAGCAACTCACAATGCAGGACAGAGACTCCTTCCCTCACACCAATGGCCATGCGCGAAACGCCAGCACCTCTACCCATGATTCGTGGCTCGATCCTTCAAACTCTGGGAGTCGGCCAAGTTCCGCCGGTGCGGATGGCTTTGTGCTTGGGCGGGATGTGGACTTTTTAGAGCTGGCTGGCAAGACAGATGGGTTTATGCCAGGTGATCTGGTTTTGCTATTGTCTCGTGCCCGCAATGAGGCCCTCATACGTTGTGTTCAGAGTTCTCTGTCTTCTTCAAAGTCGATCGCCCTTGGTGCTGATGATTTTGACAACGCGATCAAGGGCTTTACCCCTGCCGCCTTACGCAATGTGACGCTCACCTCATCTACTACGACCTTCTCCGGCATTGGTGGCTTGACCGAGACTCGAAAGATGCTTCTGGAGACGCTTCAATACCCCACCAAGTACGCGCCTATTTTCGCCCAATGCCCTCTACGCCTCAGATCAGGCCTGCTGCTTTACGGATACCCGGGTTGCGGAAAGACACTTCTCGCCAGCGCGGTTGCGGGAGAGTGTGGCCTTAACTTCATAAGCGTAAAGGGTCCGGAGATCTTGAACAAATACATTGGTGCTAGTGAAAAGAGTGTTCGTGATCTCTTCGAACGAGCGCAAGCCGCCAGACCCTGTATCCTCTTCTTCGACGAATTCGACAGCATCGCCCCGAAGCGTGGCCACGACTCCACCGGAGTTACTGATCGCGTCGTGAACCAACTTCTCACACAGATGGATGGTGCAGAAGGTCTCTCGGGAGTGTATGTGCTCGCGGCCACTTCCCGGCCTGACCTCATCGATCCTGCCCTACTGCGTCCCGGTCGTCTCGATAAGTCCCTGATATGCGATATGCCCAACCACCCAGATCGACTTGACATTATTCGCGCTGTGAGCGAGAAGCTCAAAATGGACGAGGAGGTCGCTGCACGACTTGACGAGGTCGCCGCCCGTACCGAAGGCTTCTCCGGCGCTGATCTGCAAGCCGTCGTCTACAACGCTCACCTCGAGGCCGTGCATGACGCTCTCGGCGACCGCTCAGCAAACAACACGCGGTCAACGAAAAATGGCACTACGAAACCATCCTCCACAGATACCAGCGGCGCTACGAGCAAGTCATTCATTCAATTTCTCTATTCCGCATCCGAGCAGCACGCGGGATCGGTGTCGATGCCTCCGCCCGCTCTTATCGCCTCCAAGCTGGAAGCAATGAAGAGCGCTCGCCGTCGCCTGCGACAGCAGGAGCAAGGGATGGCCAGCGCACCGACCAACGCATCGTCCGCTCAGGATGAACCTCGAGAGGAGATCGTTGTCCGATGGGAGCACATGGAGCGGTCGCTGAAAACCACACGCGGCTCTCTGAGTGATGCTGAACGGCGACGCTTGGAAGCTATCTACCGTGAATTCATCTTTGGGCGCAACGGAGAGATGCCTACTGGCGAGGGTGGACGAGAAATCGGGGGTCGCACCAGCTTGATGTGATGACAGATTCTATCATCACAGAAGCTGTGGGGAGAAGCTATTATGTATATCACGTCTAGTTCAATGTATATACGAGAGTCATTGTCACGGTGTTTAGTTGCAGTCCAGTTTCAGGAGATAAAAAGGATCGCCCGCGGAAGCGGCCGGATTCGAACCCTTAACCTACATGCGTTCAATATAGCAGCTCGTACCTCCAAAAAGAGGTCTGTAAATGTTCGCAAAAAAACTGGTAGCTTCTCTTTGATTGAGCGTGTCATCCTTAGTGCAGGGGCCATGCTAATCTTCTCTGTATCGTTTCAAATTGACCAAATGCCCGAAGGCAAGAGGACTACTTTTCAACGGGTAATATAGCAATGCCGCTAGTGAGAGCGATCTCTGATTGGATAACTAAGCGAGGGCTGCCGCTGGGTGCCGGCGGTCTGTGAACACCAAAAAATGGCTCAGGTGCCTCATGAGGTGGGTGGCCACCCATAATGGTTGTTGGGCCCTGGCTGATGGCCACCAGGAAAGCAATTCTTCAGGATGCCTGCGACGTAGTTGCATACCTTGTGCATCGATTGTGTTCATCATTCACAGTCATTGGGTCGATTGTTGACGCCGATGGTAGCCCAGAGGACGCAAGCCATATTCTTTGCAGCTTGGACTGCGGGCAATGAGAGGAAGATGTCAATAAACTTGGTTCATTAGGTTGGACGGTTGGAAGGAGCCCTTCGTCTTTGGGGTAGTCTAGGGTCCAGGAGCCCTAAAGTCCCGGTACCGTACCATCGGCGTCTCCCAGTGAGAAGCCAGGCGGCGGGGCTCGTGAGGGGCACCTTTAGCAGAAGCGCTGACAGCTTCACGGTTGTCCCTCTGCGCTGCTACGGGAAATGCTTTGTTACATACAGTACGGAGTAGTCTATGATGGCCTAGTCAAATACTTCATATTAGCTGGTCTATATTCTCTACTTGGTTTCTTTTTCCAATAAGTAGTACTTTAAGCTGTAAAGTATATAGTCTTAATGCCTTGATATATGGGGGATCGAGTAATTCAATGGTGCTCGATGGAGTAGTTGAGATGACTGACTGGTTAGTGATAAACGGTCCCTTTCCTTTCTGTTTTTCTGTTCTTCCAACTTCTCGTGCATCGTCGGCGACGAGACTCTGGCCCTGGGCTACCCTCCTGGATATTAGCACAGTCCTGACTATTTGGCCCTGGCAGTGGGCCCTTTGCGATGCTTAAAATCTGCAGAACGATCAGTGTCATACCGGCGATCATACTCTTCTACGTAGAGAGCAATTGAGGAAGTGGTATCAAGGTTATATCTAGAATAGTGGGCCGTCCGGATCAGCCTCGATGTAACCATCGTCACGACGAGTTTGGCCCAATGCGCTCCCGTGACGTCCAAGTCGTCATCACTGGGTGAACAGATCTTCAAGATTTTGATTCCCGATCTCAGAATCTACTAGCTTTGCTAGTTGAATTGTCTCTGGGTTTACTGGTAGGCTAGGTTCATAAGACTATTTCAATATTGATGCCTTAACAACTTGACATATATAGGCCAGAAGAGAACCTCGAGCACCAAGTATGAATGTTTAGTCTTAGCAGGCCAGTAATAACCACACATGGTTGATCCCTTACATTGTACCTGCTGGTGGCAATCAATGGATGGCCACCTTATCTACCAACAGAAGAAAAGAACGGACAAATATGAGTATGTGTACGGAGTACTGTATGCACTGTGCCGTCTTCCCGAAGCTGAGAGGCAAAAGACTCCAACCCCACAAACAGCTGAGTCAGCGCCCCTCTCCTCCCCGGGCGCCGGTAAAGCTTGGCGCAGACTTACAGTACTTCTTATGTAGTAAACAACAGCTGAGTATGTTGATCGATCACTTTGTTTTCCATTAAGAATGTGAAGTCGAACATATCTGATGTGTACGTTGAGGCTGAGCACCTATTTGAATTTTGATAGTATGGTGTGGCAGACTCATTGGGCACCGCAGGCCACTTGTGGGAGGGGATTGTTGGGGAAGACCGAGGCTGGAAGGGGATTGCGGAGATACAACGGTTATTCGCGCCGTCTCCAACTCGACCAAACCTTTCCTATCAGTCCGCCGTCATGCCGAGGGCCGATCACTTGCCTACCTTAATAATGGGTATCCTGTTCGTCCCAATCTCCTTCGGCGTCTTCCCCATCTTTCATCCTTGCATTCAGAACAATCTAGATCTCCTCTTACCCCATTACTTCATCACTTCTTCCCTCACTCCCTTATCTCTGTTCTCACTGCAACATTCCTGACACAGTTCTTTTTTGCCTTTCCCCGCATTGTCGCCATGCCCGTCTCCTCACTCTACCCGTCGGTGGAAATACCCAACGTCGATATTTGGACTTTTCTCTTCGAGCGCAAAGACCGAGAGTATCCGGATGATAAAGGTATGTTGTGATCTGTCTCTCACCAACAAAAGCCTTATCTTGTCTGGTATCTGCTTGCACTCTACTCTTCCCACTTGTACGAGCATTTCATAATTGATAGCACTCTAGTAATCTACGAGGATGCCGATACCAAACGAACCTACACTTACCAGGGTGTCCGAGATACCGCACTGGCCTTCGGACAAGGTCTCAAGGCCATGTTCGATTGGCGCAAGGGAGATGTCCTAGCTCTATTCACCCCTAATAGCATCGACACCCCGGCAGTGACATGGGGAACGCACTGGGCGGGCGGAGTTGTTTCTCCGTCCAACCCAGCTTACACAGCAGAAGAATTGGCCTTCCAGTTGAAGAACTCGGGCGCGAAAGGGCTGGTGACACAATATCATCTGCTTTCGGTTGCAACAATCGCGGCCCAGGAAGCGGGGATCCCCCACGACAGGATCATCCTGATCGGCGACGAGCGCGACCCGCAAGCAAAGTTCAAACACTTCACCTCCATTCGCAACCTGTCCGGCGCAACTCGATACCGGAAAACAAAGATCGACCCCTCCCACGACCTTGCCTTCCTGGTCTACTCCTCCGGTACCACGGGTGTTCCCAAGGGCGTGATGCTCTCCCATCGCAACATCGTCGCCAACGTTCTGCAGCTTTCATCCGGCGAGGCCGGCAATTTGACATGGAATGGGGTCGACGGCCGGGGTGACCGTGTCCTTGCCTTTTTGCCATTCTTCCACATCTACGGTGCGCTTCCCTTGTTCCCCCGCGTACAACTTCCCCTCTAAACAAACAAAACCCAAAACAGGTCTCACCTGCCTCGTCCACCAAACCCTTTACAAAGGCCTCCACCTCGTGGTCATGCAGAAATTCGACCTCGAGAAATGGTGCGCCCACGTCCAGAACTACCGCATCACATTCAGCTATGTGGTGCCCCCGGTCGTCCTCCTGCTCGGCAAACACCCGATTGTGGACAAGTACGACCTCTCCAGCCTGCGCATGATGAACTCGGGCGCCGCCCCATTAACTCAGGAACTGGTGGAAGCCGTCTACGCGCGCATCAAGTGCGGGATCAAACAGGGCTACGGCCTGAGTGAGACGAGCCCCACGACCCACACGCAGCCCTGGGAGGAGTGGCGCACCAGCATCGGCGCCGTGGGAAAACTCCTCCCGAACCTCGAGGCCAAGTACATGACGATGCCGGAGGACGGCTCGGAGCCGCAGGAGGTGCCCGCCGGCGCGGTCGGGGAGCTGTACATGCGCGGGCCCAACGTCTTCCTGGGCTACCACAACAACCCGGCCGCCACGGCGGACTGCCTCTCGGCCGATGGCTGGTTCCGCACCGGTGATGTCGGGTACCAGGACCAGAAGGGGAACTTCTACATCACCGACCGCGTCAAGGAGCTGATCAAGTACAAGGGGTTCCAGGTGGCGCCCGCGGAGCTGGAGGGGTTCCTCGTAGACAACGAGGCGGTCGACGATGTCGCCGTCATCGGGATCGAGAGCGAAGCCCATGGCAGCGAGGTGCCCCTCGCGTATGTGGTCCGGAGCGCGAAGAGCCTTGCCTCTGGGGTGTCGGCGGACGAGGAGGCTGCGAATATCATCCAGTGGTTGGATGGCAATGTCGCCTATCACAAGCGCCTGCGCGGCGGCGTGCGCTTCGTGGAGGAGATTCCGAAGAGTGCAAGCGGGAAGATCCTGCGGCGGTTGTTGAAGAAGCAAGCGAAAGAAGAGGGGATTGGTGCAGGCGCGCCGGCACCCAAAGCGAAGTTGTGAGGTGGTTGGAAGTTTTCATGACGTATGAGTTCGTTTGGTTTCCTTCTTTTTGCGGGCGTGCTTGGGCGGTCTTGTGTAGATAGACTCTGTTGTGGTGTTTATACATCTTTAGATAATTTATGATGTGCCAAATATCCAGCTCCGAGTGTAGCCTGTCAATATGTTGCTCATTGTTCAAGGGATTAACTGCCCTCGAGTAATGTCATTTGAATATTCCAGCGTATTATACCAGACATACCCCAAGTCCTCAATGAATGGGGCAGAACGAGCCGAAGCATGCTCACAAACCAAATCTCTTCACCATACCCTCCACATCCTCACCTTCGACCGCATCAACCTTCTCACTCGCCACTCGTTCGACAGCCTCTTCCACCCCCTCCTCCCCATTCAGAAGATCATACCAACCGTCCGTGTCGTCCCGGGCCAAGAGCAGATCCGCCACGATCGCCACGTCCTCTCTGGTGACGTTATCCACGCCCTTCCTCGTCTTGCCGAGATCGACCTTGCGGGTCGCGGGGTTATCGGTCAACGTGCCCGGCCGCAGGTTGATCGCCTGCAGGGGTTGCGCGGCGCCGGCCGCCACGAGCTTCTTGCGTTGTGCGGCCAGCGCGGTCATGTACTCGTCGGCTTCGAGCTTGGCCTTGGCGTATGCGGGGAGGACGTTGTGGAAGACGTTCTGGAGGCCGGCCCAGTCGTCGTTGGAGAGCCAGCTGGGCGGGTTGCGTCGGCTGCCGATCCAGGACACCAGGAGGAATTTGGTCACTCGGGGGCGGGCGAAGGAGGCCGCCAGGAAATGTGTCGCGGCGACTTCATCGATCGCCTGCGTGCGGGCGGGACCACCTTTGCCGCCGGCGCCTTTGGGTTTTCCCAAGGGGAAAAAGGAGTTAGTGTATAGCTGCTATCAAATGGAACTGGGGAGTTCGTCTGTGAGAGAGTTTGAGGGTGTGAAAGCAAAGACCTGCATGGTTGGATGGGGTTGCTGTTTCGTTGTGTATTTGTTTCATTGTCCGATTCCAAACGCGAGGGCGTACCTGCAGACCAAACTACGTAGTCCGGATCAACGGCGTCGAGGACTTTCTTGGCATCTCCTTCACTCTTCACATCATCCAAGCTGGAGAGAAGCACGTTGAGTTTGCCCTTGGCGCCTTTGCCCAGCGCGAGAATTTCATTTTCGTGCTCTGGATTACGAATGACGCTGGTGACGTTCCAAGAGCGGGCGAGGAGGAGCGGGGTCAAATGGAGGGCTACTTTGCCGTGACCACCGAGGAGTAGGACTTGCATGATGACAATGCTTGTTAATGAAGATTGTATTGTTGGTCTAATGCTGAGTACTTTGTTGACAAGTAAAATGAGAAAGCGTGTGGGTTGCTGTCTTCATGATGTGCGGCGCGAGCAGTAGGCTGTTGGAGCTGAGGCCCATTAGATTAGTAATTCATGGAGGGAAAGTCGAGAATTGCGTCATGGTCGAGTTGGCTGGGATCAGCTAAGCTACCCTTGACTAGTTGAAAAGCATTGACAGTGCATTCAATGCATTCAGCAATCAATCAGTCAGTCAGTCAAGCAACACAATGTCTCAGGCACTGCAAGGAGCCGCGTTCTCTTATCGCACATTTCCATGGCAGCATCACCCTGCAAACTCCCCCTTGATGAACCTTAGGGACCAGCTGGGAATCAGCCAGAACTCAAATTTTCCACGTGGCTTTGGCTTCCTCAGTCGCATTTATCACTTGTTTGCGTCGACTCAATGACTAGCTATTCCAGGGAGATTAGTGCTCTTTGGGAGGGCGTCTTGGAAGCTTAGACCAGAGAAGTGAAGGCGTAGGCGAGATTGAAGAGAGTGAAAAGACTCGTGTTTGGGTCCCATCGCGAATCTGAAACACCACCGGCCGAATGGTTGAAAAGAGGACCTCTCCCCGCGCAAAGCTTCAGGGCCGGAGAACCATGGAGCGCACACGCTCGACTCCGGGTTCTCAACCGTGTGGATTCAATGGAGCCTTATTACCAAGAGGATGGGGATGTGGATAAAGCGGGATCGTTGTCGATAATGGGAAGAAGGTTATTAGGACTCAAAAGGTGTGTGTACAGTGTGTACTGTGCGCTTTACTCGGCAGTCGTGAATGCATGCGGGCTTGCGTTAGTCCGACGCTTTTTTTTTCCCCTCATGGCTCTCGGAGATTGGATTAATTAATCGCAGATACAGTGGGACTGATCTGGATCCTCAAGCTGGCCATTCGAATCTTGGATAAAGTGAAGGAGAACCTTGATCAACACGACCTCTATGAGCATGACTTCATGATGATGATGATGATGATGATGCGCAAAACTCGAGCAGGATTGTGGAAGACGACGGGCTACGGCGGAGTTGGATTGGAAACCGCGACCACTGGGGTCCAATTGGTACCTGTCTGTGCCTGGCGGTGCCTGTCTGTGCCTGTCTCTCTCCCGTCCTTGCCCAGGATTAATCTAAAGTGGGCGGAGAACAGCCCGGTAAGACTACTGTGTGTGTTCCCGTCCCTGGTCTGCTCGTCCAATTTGTTACTGCGCTTTGTATTGCGACTAACTACTGAGTACTCAGTAGTTAACTAACGCACTGTTGACTATTACCATTATTAAGCATGCTAAGACTCACTAACTAAACTAAGGATTTGTCCAGACCGCACTCCTCAATTCCACCTCTTCAGGCCTAGTCAGGGGTATCCACCACAATTGTACGGTACGGTACAAACCAGACCTGTTTCCAAGGGACTTCTCTGTCGGGCAGACTTGGGTCCCGGCTATTCAACGGCTGTCATTTTTTCTCTCTCTCACTAGAGTCACTACGTACTCCGTACTCTGTACTGACTCGAGACAATCTAATTTACCCAACGGATAGTTAGTGGGTGTCTAGACGATCACCTAGCGAAATAAACATTTTTCTCACACATATGCTTCAAGATGGTGGTTACAGGCGAAAGTGCGCCCTGCCTCCACCCGAGAGCCATGTGGAAGTAATAAGTTCATGGCCATCACGGACTTGCATGACGTATCGGATCTCCATCGCCATTAGGACTTCGATCTTCCTGCGGAAATGGATACTGAATACGGATATATCGAACTGACTTGCATCCGACATATACTCGAGTCGGTCCCAAAGGAAGCGTGCGGTGCTCGGTGAACCAAAGGATGGGTCTTGTCTAAAGACACTAACTCCCCAACAAGGATGGTTCTGGAATCCCGAGAGACTCGAGAGCGATCGATTAGTGACTCCATGTTGGGGATTTTCTCAAGGAGGGGTAAACCTACAGGATCTTATGCATGTCGCATCTGCACTCCGGATTCGACGCGAGGTCGCTTTCAATCCCTGCAATCTTGTGTGCCTCCTAGCCAAACTCAGGGGTATCTCAGCGGCGGAGCACACTTCGTACTCCGTACGCTGTGATAACATCTTCAGCAGCTGCACACAATGAATGTTCTGACGTCCGGTATCTGCGGGACGACCGCAGCCTCCGTCATACTGTCCGACTCATTGAGATTGTGTATCTCCCTCACGAGTCCCCCTAAATTATCAAGATCAAAATAGATTAATCGATGACATCAACTGAGCGGTCGTTGTATCGCAATCTATGCTGGCAAAACCGCACAGTATCTATTATATTCTACAACATCCGCGACAAAGGTCCAGGTGATCGTCCCGCTCGTCCAAATTTCCGGAACCGCGCCCAATGTGCCCTGAGCTAAAAGTACCGGCCTAAAAGCCATGAAACGGATATCCAGGAGACACATCACAATAACCGAACAACGGTGGAGGGATTTCAGTTCAGTCGGCGGCTTCAGGATGATATATAGTTTAGGAAAAACGCCTCATCAGGGTGAAAAAGGAGACTCTCGGGAGCATCTCCCGCTTGACTGGGTGGGCGGCCATTGCCGATGATTTGTGCGGAAGGCGTTTTGGGGGCAGTGGGAAAAGAGACCTTTGTCGTCCTTCCTATTGTCCCACTGGAAATGCAATTGACGATGGAGGTTCTGGTTTGGGGTTTTCAGTCTTCACTTCAGCCTTCAGCCCCAGATTGGCCCACATCCCGCCAGACGCGGTCGTGTAAATTCACACAAAATGTCCTCCATTATTCAGCTGGATGGAGGAGGGAGTGGAGGTCTGGCAGGCATTGCCGTTTCAACTGGAGCACCCATGTTTGACAACGCGGGAAAGAACAATAAAATGCACGAGATACGATAGACAGCTCGGCTTCGAGTGGTGGTGACTGGCAAGTCAACAACCACATCGACAAACACATACTTCGTTCCGGAGAACTTGCTCTGTAGGTCGATTGAGAATGAGCTGGTGGAGGATGGAAAAGACACCCACCCACAAATACTTCAACTTGGAATACAGCCGGCGTAAGGCACGTACGAACGGTAAGGTAGGTTACCTTAGGTAGACTGTACCCGAAATGGGGACATCCGATTTGTGGTTCATTCGGAGGGGGGGGGGGGGGGTCTGCAAGGGGCATTGGGGCTTAATTGTCACTCGACGGTACCGTACGGTAACCCGAGACCACACCCATGGTTTCCGTGACAGTTTATTGACTTTAGAGAGTTGTTATGATCCAGGTATGAAGTCCGAAATATTCCAGACGGGCTGTCACCCCCGGTTACCATTGATATTGAGAGAGGCGGGGATCCCTTCGATAGGAAGAGGCAGAGGAAAGCGAGACAGGAAGGAAATTGGCTTGGAGATACAGTACACCGTAGGTAGGAAGAAAGAATCGTGATCCTGAACTGAATAATATTGTTTTCTCGACGTTCCCTCTCCATAGTGAAAAACAAAGACAGCATCTCGTGTCGATCCGCAGAAGCGCGTTCCATGGGACCCAATAATTTGATCGTCTCCAGCACGGCGCTCTGGACTTGTCGGTAATAATAATAAAATGACATTGGAATTGACTGACTGGTCCTTTGACCATGGAAGCAATTCTAGTCGGCTAGTGCCAAATTCAATTAAAATCAAAACCCGGGAAAAAAATAAAAAGAAAAAAATAAGAGAGCAAGAAATAAAGAAGGTAAAAAAAATAAAAGTGAGCGCGCGAAAGAGTGACTCGGTCGGATCGAATCCAAATCCCTTCTTTTTTTGAGGTAGACCGTAGAAGCAATAGATTGCTCCTCCCTCCCTCTCCCCTCCTCTCTCTCTCTCTCTCTCTTTCTCGACACATCTGAACAGTCACCACTCATTCATTTTCACTACACACTCCCTTTTCCAACTTCAGCACTCTTTTCATACCTGTTGGTCCGCCTTTATTTGGGATCAATTGAATCCTTCCCTTCTTTTGAAGTCACATTCTATCCCATCCACTCACTACAAACGACGCACTTATTTCTGGGCACCTCCACCCGCCATCGACCCGGACTTTCAGCATCCCTACCGACTCCGCTCCCGCTTTCCACGGTGCAGCCACATTCCTGCGTCTCATGCAGATGCCCATCGCCTTCCATTCGATCGCCTTCTCAGAATAACTTGTGTACTGGAGATTCCTCCGCCACATTGCTACTCAATTGCTTTTGCGACCGCCTCTCATCCTAGCACCCTGCACATCAACTCCACCATTTGACAACTACTCCGACCTAGTCCTGCGCGCCCGCCTGCCCGCTGCCTATTTTGAGCTTTGACGCTCCCCGGAGCATCTCGACTTCCAGGGAATGAAGAACAATCCGGAAATACATCCAATAACCCACTAGCTCACTAGCTCCGCTGAGCTCTTCGTGTATTGAGTGACGCTCAATCGGCCTTTCGGCTTCGCCACAGTCGCTAGTAGGTTACTCGCCCTATAGAACCACGCACAGGGATACCCCATATTGTCCGCAGCCCATATGTGTCTGACGCATGGATTTCGCTCAGTCTCCCATCTCAGCGTAACCCTCGATCTGCTCCGGTCTCTGACGCGATAACACCACATCCCTGAGATTCGCCGGCGTCGCGCGCATTTCCCCCCGCACAGTCCGCCATGAATCGTTTCCGCAAGAATAAAAAGGACAAGGTGAAGGAGGAGGTGATAGAATTCTCCGAGAGCAGCTCAATAGGACTCAGCTCCAAGCTGTCATGGAAATCTAAGAAGGAGGAGCCCGAGGAGAAATCGGATTTCGATCTCTCCTCAGCCTTACCGTCGACCGACGACTTCCGCACCAGTCTTTTGATGCCAAAATTGTCTGCACGGTTCAGCATGTTAAGAGAGCAGGATGATCCGGATTCCATCATCGGGAAAGCAAGTGACGACAGCGTTCTATTCCCCAAGCGTGCCTCGCGACTGAATCTTTTCGGTCACAATCCCGGCTTCCTGGCTGATATAGATGAGGTCTCGATTGATGGTCGATCGATAGCCCCAGGGCGTGCCCAATCAATAGTGTCCGAGAATAATTCCTGTGGGACTGATGAGGACTCTTCACAAAAAGAAAGTATTATGAGCAGAGGTCGCCGAGTGGAAAGCAATAACTTGTTCGGCGGACGGCAGAAAGTGTACAAGATCTCATCGAAGTCAACATTGGGTGCTTCCGACTCCGGGCGTTCACAGATGAGCAGCCGTGCGCTCTATGAACCTGATTTGACAACGTCTGCCTTTCACTCTCCCAATGCCAAAGAAGGCGTCGAATTGATGGCGGAGGATTTCCCACAAGGAAGTCCTTCCCACGAGATGGAAGACGCACTTTCCCGGGTCTCCTCTGCCAAACGCACCACTCTTTCTTCCACTGCATCCGGTCCTACTGCGAATGCTCGCACTTCAACAGCTGCTACGTCGATAGATGAGCAGTCGTTATCGGGAACTTCGCCACAGACATCAGTCAGCGAGGGTCTGTTCTCTGCACCAAAGTCAACAATGCCGGGGATGGCATCCGAACGTGGTTCAGTCAAGTCGAGGCGTCTATACGGGCAAGGGTTGGCGCAGAGTGCACAGAATCAACAAGCCTCTACCCTCCAGCGTCTAGAGAGCCTGAGTCGCCAGAGAGCAGGAACCCCCGAGCACCCGCCACTTAACCGGGCTTTCTCCAAAAGCGCCACAAATCTCCGTGATAGAATGCAACCCTTGACGATCACCGAACCCCTTCCTAGTAACCCCAGCCCAACCCAGCCCACGAGCCCCGAATCTTTGTTTCCATCGTCAGAGGAGGCGCTGAACATCGCCGCCAAGGGACTCAAAAGCCCTGCAAGCACCGCGTACAGTGTTCCTCCGCTGAGTCCCCCGTTCAGTGAAAGTGAAGAGGGAGGAGCCTTAGTGGCTGCTCTCCGACCGGAGGACCATGGCAAGGCTACGGCTTCAGGCCTGTTCAATAAGCCAAAGACCACTTTTGATGAAAGTCAATTCAAACAACGTCAGCTACAGATGCACCAAGGGAGGAGCACACCGCCTTTGGCTAGGCCCCTCCCACCACCTGCAAGAAATAAACTGCCCGAGCTTCCTGGACGCGCGCGCGGTTTCTCGAATGCAAGCTACACGTCGAGGCCTGGCTCGGCATCTTCGCACTACAGTGAGGCTCAACGCCCCGGGAGCCGGTCTGCCGCGAACGCTTCCCCTCCGAAGCCCACCGGCGCCACTTTCTTTACCAACTCGAGTCATAGTGATTCGGAGGATGAAGGCCGCGCGCGCTTGCGTGATACATTGTACACTACGGACGAACTGCACCCTGCACTGCGACCGGAAACGCCTTCCAAGCCCTCTACGCATTCGAGTGAGCACCGAAGCCCTCTGCCTGAAGTGCGGTACTCCGATTTGGGGGATCTGAAGCCAATTGCGGAGCATGATCTTGTTGAGATCAAGTCTAGTAGCGGCCAGGATCTTCCAGAGAAGCCAGACTCCCCTACGCTAGGACCCTCAGGTCTGGGATTGAGTGGCTTGGTTCGCGCACACCTTCGACAGGACAGCGACCGTTCGTCAATTTACCCTCCTCCTTCCCCTGGCCTTCCAGCTAAGCCTGTAGAGGCGAATGCAGTTGCGGATACCACTGCGCAATATCCAAAAAGTGCCCCCCATAGCGCAATTTGGCAGGATGAGCTCGTCTCCAGACACAGACGTGAAGCGAGTACCGAGACACAAATCGAACGCGAAGAGTTCGCCAACGAGCTAGCAGAGAGACGGAGAAAGGTGCAGGAAAAATTGAAGGGCTTTGCGGAGGTGGAGAGCAGATCAGCTAGTCCTGTTTCTGGCCGCCAAACTCCAGATTTTACTCCGAGCAAACCTGGGAACGCATTCTCTTTTCTGAAAAACAAATCAGGGAAGCAACATCTCTTCAGCAAACAGGATCTGAAGGGTGCTAAAGGCCTGGGCTATGCCAACGCCTCTACTCCGGCTCTGGTGTCAGATGACCCTTGGCGTGAGGAGGAAGAGCGGCCGGCCCTGCCTTTCGCGAAGCATGCTAATTCTAGCACCCCCCACATTGCAGGCGAGAGGTCTTTCCGCTCGAAAATGTCCGTCTTCGGTCGCAGCAGTCAAGAAGACTCCCGTGAGTCTAGCCGGAGCCGCGGTGCATCTCCACACTCCAGCTTTAGATCACGCCGAGATCGCTCCACGTCTGACGCATCGGGTCGTTCGAAAAGTCGCTCGCGGCGAGACCGAGATGGCCTAGAGACATTGGAAGAGGTTGGACATGGAAGTCACCACCCAATGGCCTATCCTGATCATGATCAGTATGGCATCCAATCCGTCACTTCCTCTGGCCGCCCCTCAGTCGAGGCTACCGAGTCTGCCATGTATGAGCGCTGCTCGTCCGCTGCTTCAACTAGGCACCGTAGTGGAAGCCGCTCAGCTGTCTCCAGCTTTCACGATCGCCCTTCCTACTTCTCAACGAACAGTTCGTCCCTGATTGGTGCCGCTCCTCGTCCTTCCCCCATCGCACCTTATTCCGCTAATGCTACACCACCCTTGGATCTTAATTCTGAGAACGGTTCCCCTTTGGTGCCTGCTATTAGTAACAACCACCAACATCATCACGCTCTCAATCGTGCACCGGGTAACAATGGCCTTACAAAGCGGGCAATCAACAAGACCCTTATCTCTGAGCCTACATTGGTTTCTTGCACATCAAATGTACCGACGGTTGGTCTTCCTCCTGGCGCCAGCCTGAGTAACGGAATGGAGACACCACCAATTCCGCCGATGAATCCACGGCGACGTCGTCAGACTACCACACAAACCATTCTGGGAGCACTCAAAGGCGAGAGACATGAGTCTCAGTATACACCATCGATTGACTCGGCTATGGAGGAGACAAGCAATTTCTCCGACGACGGCGAAAAGCGCCCGAAGTCTCGAGCCAGGCTTCGCAAATCCTCCAGCGAGGGAGGCAACTTGAATGCGAAGGCCCGTCACCAGCTGCTAGCTGACACACATCCGCCTGCTGTTCCTACCTACCCACCCCCCCAAATTCCTCTGGATGGAGGGATGTTTTAAACCTCTTAAACTCCATGCTGAACACCTGACATAACTTCCATTCCCTTCAATACCTTCTCAACCCACTTCCCCGACTACGATGTATTATTGACGTTCTGGCTTAGCCCTCTGCATCTTTATGTTGGATACCTCTCCTTAGCAATTCCGGTTTTGCATCCATCATGATATACCAACAGCGTTACGTTGAGCGGAGCATTATTACTTTCATTTCCTGTTTATTACCCATTCATTGACATTACCAATTTCCTATGAGTCATATCTCCAGACAAAGCCATTCTCTCTTGACATTTGCTTAGACGAGATTTGGCCACAATACCAGAATTATCCACACCATAAGTTTCATACATAGCTTTTCAGCTGTCTGTTGATCTCTAAAGTATTAGTATCGTTGGTAGTTGATCGTCCTTTGGACAATCCTAAATCTGCATGTTGCATCCAGGCTTGTGGAAGCCTTACTGCACTGGAGATTTGCAAGCCATCAAGCGTTGGAGCAAGACATTCCAAAAGCCTTCTTGTCCACTCAGTGTGAATGCTCCATACTGATCAGGTTGCTGTATTGCTCTTTTGGTTCATGCGTTATTTCATCTTGAGGTTACGTGGACGAGAAAACCCTCACATAGTATCAGGCTTAGGATATTGTCCAGCTGTCTACAGTCAAGGTCTTAAAGTAGGATGTTTAGTGATTCTGTGGAGTAGGATGAAAGATTCAAGACACCTTGTCAGTCACGTGGATGAGGAAACCCTCACATAGTACCAGGGATAGGATGCCCTCCAGCTGGCAATAATCATGTGTCTCAACGCAGGGTTCATGTTCAGTGATGTCAGAAATCGGAATGAAAGACTTGAACAGTTGCTAAGTCTGTAGTCATCGCAGGTAACGTGCAGGAACAGATATCATTCAACGAGCTGTATGTTAGTTTCTTTCGCTCATAACAGCTGCAATGTGCGGTTTCAATGCTTGACCCGCTTTACTTTGCGCAGCTTTAACAGTGAGAGGAAACTTTCTCGTTGTCTACTAGCCAGTGAGGTAAACAGAATCCTTATTTCTTTCTTCGCCCTTCTTGACTGCACAGTAGTCCTTCGTCTAGTGTTCTTCCACACATGCCTTGTCTCGAAAATCCATCATCACACCTGCCTCCATTCGCTCAAATGAATTTCAAAGTCTAAAAGTTACCTGACTGCCACGAAGGCAGGCTGTCTCCTCAAGCTTGTAGCATTGCTTTACATCAGTTTTAGATAGCGTCCTATCCAGATCAGATAGTAAGCATTACCACCCCCCGTGTTATCGCTGTTTTATGCTTTGCTCACAAGACCTCAACATACAGACCTATCCTCATCACCCGACATTCTTATCACCTTGCTCGGGAAAACGGTACGCATCGCCCGGCTTGTCCTTTTGCTACTAAGGAGCGAAGGATCAAAACTGATCACCATGCTCAGAGTGTGATGTATCCTGCGTTCAACCGCGTCCAGTCCTTTTGTTCCTCCGAAGATATTCTTGCGAGTGAGGCCTTTGACGACTTTTTCAACATCTGGCGCCCGAAGAAGACGGCAGGCGAAAAGGAAACTCAAAGGCAGAGATCGCTCGATCTGCAAGCAGACATTGATCGACGCCTTAAGCTTGATTCGTGTCCCCCACGACCCCCCTGTCGTTCGCGTCGGCAGTCTTTGGACCCGACAATGTGCCGGCTCACTGATGCGGTCGTCGCGAGCTTGGAACCGAGCGACAGCAACGACGTGGAGAGGACTGGGGATGCTCAGCCCGCTGCACCAAAGCCTACTGCCCCAACGGCCGAGGTGACGGCTCAAGCTGAACGGCACAGCGATGACGATGACGACGCTGATAGGAGCGGTCATGGTCAACTTGCTGCGTCGTTTGCCGATGTCGTCCAAGCCAGAAAGGCGCAGAGGAAGTTGAACAAAAAAGAAAGAAAGAAGAGGCAGGCTAAGAAGCCCGCGAGGAAAACGTCAGGTGGTCCTCATCATCAGATGGCGGCGGCGGCGGCGGTGGCTGCTGCTGCTGCTCCTTCTCCTCCGCCTCCTCCGCCTCCTCTTTCTCCGCCTCCTCCTCCTCCCTCACCTCCTCCCCCACCTCCTCCTACTCTGCCTCTTCTTGTTGCTTCCGCTGCTGATCACAGTGACGGCCTGGTAGCGCAGCAAGTCACAGGCGCGGAGACTCAATCCATTCAGATCCAAGTGCCGCTGTCTCCTCCACCTCCATACGCCACTCTACCTCCCGGCCTTTTCGAAGCCGGTCGATCTCAGCTCGTCCCAACAGCGGTGAATCCGTCCTGTTTTTCCCCAGCGCCTTCGGATCTCAGCTCCACAACACTCTCAGCGACAGAGCCCCCGATCGTATCCTTACCTCCGCCCTACGTCAGTTCAGACTCGGCCGAGGCTAGCCAGGCTTTGGCCTATGATGACGTGGGTGCATCACATTCCAGAGACTTGGATTCGCTTACAGCGACTCAAGAGTCGGAAAGCACTCACTCTTTTCCAGAATCGGAGCCACGAAGTTCGTCTACCACTGACGCAAGTACTATTGTGGTGCCATTGACCGAAGCAAATCCCGATGTGGTGCAAGATCCCGATCCTGACGTCTTGGATTCATGTGTAACAACTCAAAGCACGGAAAGCACTCAACAACTGCAAGCGCCGAAGCCACGGACCGCGTCACCCACGGACGAAAGTATTCTAGTAACGCAGTTGACCGAGACCAGCGTCGAAAGCTTGGTATCATGCTCCACAGAACTTGAAGATCTTGCCGGGATCAGTGGGAACCCGAACAATGAACATGACAATTCATCGCCCGAGATACCCGCTGAATTGGTTGCTGCCGAAGAAGATGCTTGCGTGTCGCCAAGGGAGCAGCAGCAGCAGTCTAATGAGGAAGAGCACTGCACATTTGTTTGCAACATCTGCGAGCAGGAAGCCAAGAATGCACGATGTGATCAACATGATCAGGAAATTTGTTCCTTCGAAACTAACTGTTGCGTGCATACGCCAAGATCAACAGGTTGTGCTTGTCCTCCTAGGAAATCATGTTGTTGTTTACATTTCATGTCGCATTGTCAATATGGAATATCAGAGATTGCATCCGAGTCAGTCGCACCGAGTTCTTGCTCACCAAAGGACATCGAAGAGACTATTCAGGACAAAGCCCATACGGCCGAGGAACAAGCCGGTGAGATGTCAAAAGTTGCCGGTCAGTTGGCTGGCAGAAGAGGTTATCAGCTCGAAGTGCTAATTTAATTGAAGATCCGCCCGAAGAATTAAGAACAACGGATAGCCTGTCGACCTATTTTCTCGGAATCTACCGCGACCAAATATTGTGTGACTTCGGCATTGAACTTTTGAGGAAAGGCGACTCTGAGTTTGCCTGTGCCTTGCTGGCACATCGACTTATAATGATGCGAAGCCCGTCACTTGCTGTCATACTGAAATTCCCTGCATACATGGAAGGGTATAACCAAATCATCGCGGTCTTCGGTGAGAAAGTCGGCATGATGCATGGTTTTGAGATGGCTCTCAAATATCTGTATGGTGCATCACTCTTAGACGGACAACTTCTCCACCAGAAAACAATTGAGTTACTGGGATACACGGAGGCGACATACGGCGAGCTCTCGTTTCCATTTGGCAGCGCCAAGGCCGAGTTGGCATACTCCTATGCCGTGGCTGGAGCATGTCTGCAAATTCCGGACGTCATCAAAGCTGGGATTGAACTGACCATCTCCATGATCAGCTGGGAGACCATCGACGAGATCCTGCAGTACAGTATCCGGCCCGAAGACTACCTCATCACCTTGAAAGCGTTTATCAGCTTCGACCCCGAGGCGCCGTCGCTCGGGACGCCCACGGCCAGCACGCCCGGAGCACAGGATTTCAAGAAACGTTGGGCTCCGCAAGTAGTCAGGGCCTGCCTGGAGTATATGGTTGACCACCTGCCACCCAATTTTGAGTTTCACTGCAGCAACCCAAGGCGAAACATGACCACCCCCCCTCCAACGGATTCTGAGTACATATGGCCCGACTATGAGGACTACACAGCCTCCTGGATTCTGGCATCTTTGCCGTACCCATATCTCCAGGAAGCTTTCGGACTCCTTCGGAACCGCGGCTTGCTGTCGATCAAGATGGCGCATGCCGTCCTGCTCGAGCGAGAGGTCAACCGCCTCCAGGGGCTCTTGCTTTGGCTCAGGAGCGGGCACTCAACGTCGCAAGAGGAGATGATTCCCGAACTTGAGGCCTTGGGGTATCAAGAAGCGTTGACTGTCATTTCGAAAGATCCAAGAACAGGCTCGCCAAACGTCGGCGTGGACAGGGTATGGGTAGGCTTCAACGCTACTGCGTTGCCAGTTGTGCTCGAATCCACCGCCTCTGGCAGCAACTGATCTCAGTCCATTGTCCACTCGGCCTGGTTTGCATTTGGCTGCCTTCTGAATTCGATGGAACTCATTGAGCCTCTGTCTTAGGAGTGATTTTGGCTTGGACTTGATGAGATAGAGGTGATGGATCGGGTGTAATTGGGCTGGAGAAACGCACAAGAGGCCGAGGGGAGAGCTGAATTGGTTAACTGTTTACCACCGTGAAGTCTAGCCCAAGCTGTGAGAATTTCCATTTTCCCATTACTTCATTGGTGTGTGTGCCAGGTCTTTCGCCTAAGGCTCGCTTACTGCGTTTGTTCACTGTGGGCTGATGGAACGAACACATGTCAACTCTCTTGTTTAGGAAAGCCCCTCTTTAGTTTAAATGCACAGAGACCAACTGTTGTACAATACCATACAGCGGAATTGAATCAAAGATGTCATTTCAATCATACAAGAAGTCTTATATATCAGAGTCATATACAACTAGTCACTCTTGGTTCTTTCTTCTGAGCCAACCGATCAACCAACCAAATGGCTTCTATATCTCTCTCTATAAGCCCTTCTACCATAGTCGACGTGCTGCACTGTCGCCAGATGTGCCTATTTAATCGTGGTACTTAATTGGCGACCTTATCAGGGAACCCAAAGTCCAGACCGAAGGGCGGGAAAACGTAACGCTTGAAGGACTTCGTCCGAGCCAGCTCGTCCGTGTACTTGGCGATGGTGGCCAGATCCGACTCGTCGAGCTCGACCAGCTGGCGGTTGGCCTCGATGCGAGAAGGAGTCACCGACTTGGCGAGAACCGAAGAGCCACGCGCGACTAAATAGCATGAGGTTCGGTGATTAGCTTATCGGCTTCTGTAAGCGTAAATGGGAGAGGGGGAAAGGAGAGCAAGGGCTGAAGCAAGAGAGACACGGGTGCAAAAACATACTGTGCCAGCTCAGCAGAACGGTCGCGGGGGCGACGTCCTTCTTCTTGGCGACCTCGACGATGGGGTCGGCGGAGAACAGGGGGCTGCCCGTGCTGCCGAGCGGGCTGTACGCGGTGACGTGGATGCCCTTCTCCCTGCAGAAGTCGACGACCTCCTGCTGCGGCAGGGCCGGGTGGTTCTCGATCTGGTTCACGGCGGGGACGACGGTGGCCTGGGCCAGGAGCTCCTGCAGATAGGGAACGCTGTAGTTGCAGACGCCGATGGCCTTGGTCTTGCCGGCGCCGACCAGCTTCTCCATGCTCTTCCACGTCTCGACGTGCGGGTGGTCGAGGTGCAGGTCCCGCGAGCCGTCCGGGAGCTTGGGCACGACCGGGTGGTTCCCGTTGGGGTTCATGGCCACCGGCCAGTGCACCAGGTACAGGTCGATGTAGTCCAGCCCCATGGTCTGCAGGCTCTGGTCCAGCGCCTCCCCCACCCGGTAGTGCCACGTCGACCACAGCTTGGTCGTCACGAACAGCTCCTCGCGTTTCACTTCCCCCGCCGCGATCGCGTCGTTGATCGCCTTGCCCACTTCGTGCTCGTTCTGGTACGCAAACGCCGTGTCGATGTGGCGGTACCCCACCTGGATGGCGTGCCGGACGGCCTTCTCGACCTCGCCGGGCGCGGATTGCCAGGTTCCTGGGAGGGGGGGGGAGCTCACGGATTAGTGGGTCTGGTTACAAATATCAAAGGTACACAGGCTGCATACCGAGACCGAGAGCTGGGATCTCCGCTCCGGTGTTGAGCTTGAAGCGCGTATCGGCGAGACCCATTGTGGATTGCGATGAGTTCCTTTGGGTTATGGTGTTGGGCTTGAGGCGCGAACTGCGGGACACGAACAGGATGCGAATTGCGAGGGAGTTGGATGAATGGAAAAAGGAGGAATAGAAGAATGAAGAAGAAGAAGAGAACATGTGGCAGGACGAGAGGGAAAATAGTACTTAGCTAGTAGGAGAGGAGAAGGGAGGGGCAGAAGGAAGATACCCCGCACTAGTACTCTAGTATCGGAGCAATCCCCGGCATTTCCCCCACCACTTATTCCATCCCCTCGGGCGTCTTTGTGCCGACAGTTCTGACTGAGAATCTTACATAACTAACAAGAAGGGCTGGAACAGCTTGCAGAATAGCTTCACAGATGACAATGCGGAGTTTGTTTCTCCAATCTATCACCCGCATTCCCTGCACTGCAATGCACTTGGCAGGCACACCTCAATCCAACATCTACATCCCAGACACGAGCGGGGAAACAACCAGCCTCATCTGCCCATATGCATCAGGGCTATTGTCATCATACAGCAGGTCAGAGGTGCAGATACAGATAATCACAATGATCGTATCCTGCAGCAAGGGTGAACCTAATCGAGGTCGGGCCCCCTGACAAATGAAGACATTCTCTCTGGTTGAACAACGGCCCGCATGCAAACCCGCCATCGGAAACCAGAATCCAGAGGCATTGTTCCCACCCACGGCCCAGACAGCCTCCAGGGCTACACCTGAGTGTGGTTGACGCTCTGGTTGGCTGATCTGGTCCATATGCGAGCCTCTCTGTTCCACCATGGCGGGGAATGTTACCCCAGGGCAAATCCTCCCACAGTAGTCTGTGGCTTCGGAACCCAGAATCCGACCTCCTGGCGTGGGGTGGTCACGCTGGTGGGAAAATTGCCCTGTGCTTTTCTAGAATCACGCAACGTCATGCGCTGCAGCAGACCAACCAAAGGGCGATACTCGGTGTTTGGGATTTTCGATGGCAACTCCTTTTGGGGTAGTCTAATCTACGTTCGCCGAGAAGAATGGAAATATCATATTTATGTCCGGGTCGCCTCGCTTTCATTCATTATCCTCCCAACAACAACCCTTGTGTGATACCCTCAAACTCCGAAGACCAGGATAAAGTGATCTTCAGGCTCCAAAAAGTTTTCTCGTCCTTGCATCATACGCACAATCAACATGGCACCCGTCGCAGTCGCCCAAGAAACCCCCGTGTTCAACACCAAACGTGACGGACAGGCCCTTGAAGACCTGTCGGACGCCATCGACACAGTCAATGTTCTCAAGACCAACCTGAAGGAGGAGAAGGAGAAGGGTCTCTATGAGGAGTCTGAGTTCGACAAGGAGAAGGACAAGACCAAGTTCCGTCAGTACGAGGATGCCTGTGACCGGGTCAAGAACTTCTACAAGGAGCAGCACACCAAGCAGACGGTGGCATACAACCTCAAGGCGCGCAATGCATTCCACGCGAAGACCCGTGCGGAGATGAGCGTGTGGGAGGCGATGGAGAAGTTGAACACTTTGATCGACGAGTCCGATCCGGACACCAGCCTCTCCCAGATCGAGCATCTCCTGCAGTCCGCTGAGGCGATCCGTCGCGACGGCAAGCCCCGCTGGATGCAGCTGACCGGTCTCATCCACGACCTGGGCAAGTTGCTGTACTTCTTTGACGCCCAGGGCCAGTGGGACGTCGTCGGCGACACCTTCCCCGTCGGCTGCGCTTTTGACGATCGCATCATCTACGGCCGCGACTCGTTCAAGGAGAACCCCGACTTCGGCCACGAGATCTACGACACCAAGTACGGCATCTACAGCCCCGGCTGCGGTCTGGACAATGTGATGATCTCCTGGGGACACGACGAGTACCTCTACCACGTCGTCAAGGAGCAGTCCACCCTGCCCGCCGAGGCCCTGGCCATGATCCGCTACCACTCCTTCTACCCCTGGCACAACGCTGGCGCTTACCAGGAGTTGATGAACGAGAAGGACAAGGAGATGTTCAAGGCCGTCAAGGCCTTCAACCCTTACGATCTGTACAGCAAGAGCGATGGCATTCCCAGCGCCGAGGAGCTCAAGGTGCGTTAGCCACTCTTGTGATTTCCCCGGAGAATTCAGCTAACCGATAGTCCGCAGCCTTACTACCTCGAGTTGATCGACGAGTACTTCCCCAACAGGGTCATCAAGTGGTAGAGGATACCCTGGATAGATGAAAGAAAATTGTATTCCGTCCAGTCTACCACCTGAGCCATGTAGGATTGTGTCTGGTTTTGGTTGTTTGTTTCCAGCATCTATGTTTCACTTTGTTTCTTTTGGTTTCATGGTATGAACTCAAGCGATGATTCACGAACACACTATACAATGTTATTTTCCAAATGAACCGATGGCCAAGATGATTTTGGACCACGTTTTGCCCTTCACTATCTACTGTCCAGTGCAATGATCCTGGTAGAACCTAAGCCAGAAGCCGTACTTCACTACGGCTACCATCCCTGTCGGCGATCACCCTGTAGGCTTCTTCATCTCAATGAATCAATTGATTTACTCAGCCACTTCCAACACGTATGTAAATAACCATAAACGCCTCGTCAAGATCGACCGCGATCAAAGCCAATTCTTCAGCCACGACTTACGCTCAGAACAAGCCAATCCATTGCGACCCAAAAAAAAAAAAAATTGACTTTTGCAATTTCAGTGGGAGAAATCTGTCTCTTGCGGGGATTGCTTCATTGCCAAGACATTGAAGGCGCTTCGGGAACGAATTCCCGAGTCGGGGGAGTGGGGGCGTGGGGATGCGGGGATCGATTCCCTTGGGGGAGTGATCGGATCAGATCACCAGCAATGATGATTGTATACACCATTTCTGTGGTTGGGGGGAGCTTTCTCGCTATGCATTGCGAGAACAGTGGTGAGTCAAGTGATTGTTCTTGTTGGTTTGCATTGATTGCTTATTTCTGGTTGCGAATCACAAGCTTACTGCACAGTGGAGGACGCCATAGCCAATCATTGAGGTCACTTTCATAAGTGTAGAACTTGTCGTAGCAATACAGCTATTACTTTACAATTGAGTAAGGTGTAAAGTCTGAATTACTGGCAGTCATATGATCTAAATTGAGTGCGTGTTGGTTTCTGTCTCCAGCTAAGGAGCACAAAGGTTCCTGGTCTATTGATAGTATGTCATTTGAGTACACTTTTCCACCTTTGGCCTTCCCCAAATTTTTTTTCCGATTATATCCTCTCCTTTCGGTACACAGCTTCCCCGCATACTCATGGAGATACGAGTAGCTTGTAACATGTTCTCAAGCTTCGAAGAGAATCGAATGAAGTTGTAGACCCATAAGTTCGCGCAGGGGGATATTCCCCGCCGTACTCTAAAAATACCCCGGAAAGGGTAGTTTTCCCCGCCCCCGTACTTTACCGTGGTTATTTGGATGCTGTTTGACTCAACAAGCTCTCTTGATGCTTTCCATCTCCCATCTCTTCCTTGTCTCTC